AGTAGTAGCAGTAGTAGTAGTAACAGTAGTAGTAGTCGTAGTAGTAGTAGTAGTAGTAGTAGTAGTAGTAGTAGTAGTAGTAGTAGTAATAGTAGTAGTAGTAGTAGTAGTAGTAGTAGTTGTTGTTGTTGTTGTAATAATAATACTAGTAGAGGGTGGTCGGTAGTTGGTGATAGATGATAGGTAATTGGTAGTGGGTGGTGCCCTCGCGCGTCGACGCCCTTCTCTGCCGACCTCCGGCCGCACTTCTTGCGCGCGCACCTGCGGTGCCCTCTCGAGCTGGTGTCCCCCAGCGCATTCACCTGCGTCGGTACCGCGCAGCGCGCCCACTCCTTCTGCTTAACGGGGGGCCGTACGGGGGGCCGTTCCACAGCGCGGGCACTCGTGAAGTCTGCCGCGGCCCCCAGGCGTCCATTCGTCAGAACCGCCTCGTAGATCTCCTTCAGCCGGGTGTTCGGTACCGCTGGACCGTCCTTGTCCTTATTGAACCCCGCCTCTATGGCGAACTCGATGAACTTGGTCTGCTGCAGCGGCGAGTCCTTCTTCTGAGTGTTACCCAGGTTGAACCATCCGGCCCTCAGGCTATCGGGCCCCGGCTTGATCAAGAAGTCCGTGTCGCACAGCTGCTTGTCCCCATGGCACCTGAAGTACATGTAGTGGCACGGGCGCAAAGGATCTGGGACCCTGTTGATGAACGCCCTCGGGTATTCACCGCCCATGGCCTTGGCAACGTGCTCGTGTGCGACGATCGAACTGATGCTCTGGAGCGATGGAATCTCACCGCTCTCGTAGGCCAAAAGGAACAACGATGCGAAACCGTGCTCTTCCTCACTAAAACAGCGCGTGATTGGGTTGGTCAAAACCGCGTGGCCGCCCGCGAACTTGCGCGCGTACCGCTGGCCTCCTGTTTACCATGGGCGTCAACTTCATATTGCTTGTGATCGTAGGGGTCACGCGTCCTCCCAGGACCTCTTGCCAGTCCTCCTCGCCCGACTGCGAGCTCGGCGACGGGGGACTCTGCCGGCTTGGCGGCGCTGCCACACGCTCGTGACCTCCGCAGTCCTCCGCATGTCGGTCTGGCTCCCTTCCCTGAGGGTCAGACGGAGCTCTGCCACACGCTCTGGACCCTCCTGCGCGGTCCTCCGCCGCGGCCCCCTCAGTATTCCCCCTGCGCGACGGCATGGCGGTCACCAGGGATGACAAAAACCTCGCACCGCCGCGGCGCAGCGTCGAGCGCGCAGGCCCAAGGGCCAGCTGCAGCGCCCAACCGTTATTCAGAAACGGCCGAGCGCCTGAGCCCGAGTGGCCACAAACGTCAGGCAAAAAGAGGATGCTCATCCGTGTTGGCACACGGAGGCCAAACGTCAGGCAAAAAGAGGAAACTCATCCGTGTTGGCAAACGGAGGCATATTTGGTTGCTCTAGGTTCCGTCATAAATTGAGCACCCGGCGGCTGGAAATCAAGGCCCAGTTTGGGCCCGTGGAGTCTTGGCCGTGCTGGGTGCGGGGGGCCGCTCGGCTTCCCGCCCCCGACCTCGTGGAGCATAGTCGTAGCTCTGGTCCGTTGCGCGCCGCGGCGAGCCTTGGCGGGCTCCATTTCCTCCTCCTCCTCCTGCTTCAGCTACGGTTCCCACTCCAGGCGCGGCTCTTCCTTCTCCTCCTCCTCCTCCCCCAGCCCCTCCTTATGCCATCTCACTCCTGCTGCTTGACATTTCGCGTCGCCCCCCCCCCCCCCCCCAAAAAGCAGTGATTGCGCTTAGGGGTTTCGTTCTTAGCTTACTTGTTGGTTGGATATTATGTTGGGCGCCCGAGTTATCCGGGGTAACTCGGGTCCGGGGTAACTCGGGTTCTGATTCCCGAAAAAGGAACCCGAGTTATCCCTGACCCGAATTACCCCTGATGATTCTGGGGCTCTGGACGCCCGAGTTATCCGGGGTAACTCGGGTCCGGGGTAACTCGGGCTTGGATTCCCGAAAAACGAACCCGAGTTATCCCTGACCCGAGTTACCCCCTGATGATTCGGGGCTCTGAATTAGGGGTCTTCGTCATGTTGCCGCGCATGCCGCATCGGAGGCGCCTCGTGGGCGCCCCGTGCGCTGGGTGGGCTTCCCGAGGTTGCGCCACGCTGCCGCCCGTGCCGCGTCGTGGGCGCCCCGTGCTCTGAGCTTACACGGCGTAGATTCTCCTTCCTAAAAAAGCCGGCGTTATCCCCCCTCCTCCTCCTCCTCCTCCTCCTCCTCCTCCGCCTCCTCCTCCTCCTCGATGAAGGACAACCGAAGCATTAACACAAACTTCTGGAGGTCCGAACGGACTGCGCCGATATAAAAGATCCGCGCGGACCTCCACAAGTCTATGCTTATGCAGATTACAGTCGGGTATGTAAATCATAGATGATTCCGACCACACGTCCATCCTAAAAAAAAAAATTTTTGAACAAACTTACACTATCCCAGGGCGGGCCGTTCGGCCCTGATGCTCACCCCCGGGGGTTCCCTTGTAAAAAACAATGCACGGGGACTCTTTGGTCTAGACAGTTGTGTGATTGTGGTGTTCGCGAGTCGCCTTGGAGAACAAAAAAAACGATAATGGCACACGGGCCGCGTCGTCGGGCGCGCAATGGCCAGCAATCTCTTCAGAAAACCTTCGTTGTCGGAAGGATTTCGCAATGAAAATCGAATTTACAACACCAATGCAAACAAACAGGTTTCGCACACTGATTTGCAAAAAAAGCTTACGCTGAGCTCTTGCGAAATGGCTTTAAGAAAACCATCGTGTTGTTTCTTTATTTGTTCAACGAACTGCTGACCAAAGCGGTCTTCGCGCGCGACATGTCCGAATCATTCGGAACGCCCTTGCGACGTGTGCCGTCGCGAGAATCCTCCTGCAAAAATGGGAACGAAGCGTCAGACCGCGCGCGTCGTCGCGCGCGTATGCCGAAATCCTTCAAAACCCATCGGTTCGGAAGGATTTCAAAATCGTGTCCAAAAAAAACCTACAAAAACAAAAGGTTTCGCAACACGGATTTTCAACAAAAGCGTGCGCGCGCGCTCTTGCGTCGTCGTCGTCGTCGTCGCCGTCCTCCCTCCTCCCGCGTCGTCGTCGTCGTCGCCTACGTCGTCCTCTGTCTTTCCTCGTGTTCGTCGTCGTCGTCCTCTTTGGCGTCGTGGTCGTTTCCGTCGTCGTTGTCGCCGTGGTCGTCCTTCCTCCTCCTCCCTCGTCGTCGTCGTCGTCGTCGTCGTCGGCGTCTCGTCGTCGTCCCTCCTATTTCGTCGCCGTCGTCGTCGTCGTTGTCGTCGTCGTCTTCCCTCCTCCCTCGTCGTTGTCGTCGTCGGCGTCGCCGTCCTTCCTCCTTCGTCGTCGTTCGCGTCGTCGCCGTCCTCCCTCCTCCCTCGTCGTTGTCGTCGTTCTCGTCGTTGTCGCCGTCGTCGTCTTCGTCGTCGTCGACGTCGGCGTCGTCGCCGCCACCGTCGTCGTCGTCGTCGTCGTCGTCGTCGTCGTCGTCGGCGTCGTTGACGCCGTCGTCGTCGTCGTCGTCGTCGTCATCGTCGGTGTCGTCGTTGTCGTCGTCGTCGGCGTCGTCATCATCGTCGTCGTTGTCATCGTTGTCGTCGTCGTCGGCGGCGGCGTCGGCGTCGTCGTCGTCGTCGTCGTCGCCGGTGTCGTCGTTGTCGTCGTTGTCGGCGTCGTCGAAGTCGTTGGAGACGTCGTCGGTGTCGTCGTAGTCGTTGTCGGCGGCGTCGTCGTCGTCGTCGTCGTTGTCGCTGTCGTCGTCGGCGTCGCTGTCGTTGCCAAGTGCCATTTGGTACCCACCGTCACGGTCTAAAGAGACTTTGCAAACCAAGTTGCACGTGGGTGGGTGGGATGTTTGCGAGAGCAATGGAGTGGACAACTCGCTGCGAACAGAAATTATTTTCACCACATAGGTTAGGTCACATAGCCTGCACCGCATAATCTAAACCGCGTAGCTTTCACAACATAGCTTATATCGCATACTTACACGTACACCCCACAAGTTTCACCTCCAATTCAGACCGCGTAACTTACACGACATAGCTTCCGCCAAATAACTTACACCGCGTAGCTTCCACCTCCAATGCAATAACGAACTGTTTTGGGCCCACGCTGGCTACCATCATCCTTCCCTTTCGCCTTCTCCTGCTGCACCCCTTGCTTCCCCTCATCCTTTCTGGGACTGCTTGGGCACCCTTTGACCGCCCACGAACTCAAGCACCCCCTAGAAACCAATGGCTAATGTAAAACCACAACCTATACAACATCCTCCCCCTCCTGCTCCTTCCTAGGCCCACCTTTACCCCCCAAGAAAGCAATAAACAGCAATCTCAATCCTATTGCCCCTGTTGTTCCCCCCCACCACCCCCTCCCTCTCCTGGGGGAACAATGACGGAAGGGACGGAGGATGATGATAGGTTTCCTCCTGCCCCTGCTCCTGCTCCTGCTCTTGTTCTTGCTCTTCCTTGCTTCTCCTCCTCCTCCTCCTCCTCCTCCTCCTCCTCTTCCTGCTCCTCCTTCTCCACCTCGTGCTACCTATTTCCAGCTCCTCCTCCTCCTCTTCCTCTTACTCCTCCTCCTCCTCCTCCTCCTCCTCCCACTCCTCCTCCTTCTCCTCCTCATTCCCTCGTCCACCTCATCCGCCACTTCCTCCAACACCAATCGCGGCACTCGTCGAGGCCGAAGCGAGGCAGCCGCAGGCGCCCATAGGAGCGCGGGAACTTTGCTTGCGCCCTACGTGGGTTGTCAGCACTTCGCCGAGGCGCCGCCGTGATTAGGCGCCGCGTCGGCTCGAGCCGCCACAAGGGGGAAGGCGGAAGCGGCGGACGAGGATCAAGAAACAAGGAGGAATCTGCTGATGATGCGGAGGAATATGATGATGCGGCGGAGGAGGAGGAGCAGGAAGAGGAGGAGGATGAGGAGGAGGAGTGCAAACCCATGATGCATCAAAGATGTCGCAATAATCCTCCCTGCATGTTCCCTCTTCATAGACTCAATGCAAGAACTGATCTCCAATGCGGGAAGCGGCCCATTCGAAAACATCCGTCTCAGAATCCCTTATCGTGCCCCAAAACAATGTTCCTCGGACGTCAACGCCGCGGATAAACGTGACTGGTGCGTCCTGACAACCCTATATCGTGCCATTCATGGAACTTCAACGCCGCGGATCAACTTGAGGATTGCGTCCTGTAGCTCCTGACTCGTGCCAAAACACCGTGCCTAGGACCTCAACCATACGACTCCTCGGAACCGTCGGAGACTGTTTAAAAGAAATGCACGCTGTGCTAGGGCGAGAACCACATGTTGAAAAGGTACCGCCCTCCATCCATTAAACTGCTGCGGTCTTTTAAAACGAATGTGCGCGGCGCTGAGGCGAGAACCACATGTTGAAAACAACAAGTCCTCCATCCTTGAAACTGTTGCCAACCAATTTGGCGAGGAGTCGTTGGAGCCCGCTCAGCAATCTTCGAGACCCGTCGTCGCACCGTGTCCTCGGTGGCTAGACCCCCCCCCCAAAGCTCGTTGATGTAAGGTTGCTGCGCCCGAGGTTCGCATCATCGGCGGATAATTTGGCCAACAAATGTTGGAGCCCGCCCTGCATCCGCTCTTTCGGACCCGTCGTCTCGCCGTGTCGTCGTGTTCCTCCCAATTGTGATGCAAGGTTCGAGGCTTGCACTTCCCCCCCAGGCACCCGTTCTCTCCCAGCTCTCTCCCCCCCCGAAAAGAGGGGGGGCAGACTGGTGGGCAGTTGCGGATGGTGGCAGAAGGCATCCGTCGCGAGGAGGACGAAGTTCCTCTGGTCTGGGCTGCCCGCGTAAGCTTCTCGGTGTCGGACGACTCCGACTGAGTGGTTTGGTTTTCGTGGGGTGGCCCTTCCAACGCGCAGGCCATCGCGAGGATTTCAGGTGCATCCACGAATGCATCTTCCCTGCCGCATCTCTTCTCTGGGGCACGGCTCATGTTAAAAATCCTCTCCCAGCGGCGGACGCGTGTTCGCCCGCGCCGCCCGGAGCCCTGTCGTCGGGAGCCGGCGCACTCCCCCGCCGTCCCTCGAGCGTGATGGTTCCCCCCAGGAGCGACGCGCAAGCGGCGGCCGCTCCTGGGGTGAGGGGGTGGGCCGGCCAGGGCCCCCTCCTCCTCTCCTCTTCCTCCTCCTTGGCTCCTGGTGGTTGGAATGAGCGTCGTTCGTAGCCGTCCCTCCTCCCCCTCCCACCTTCCCCCTCCCCTCTCCCTCTCCCCCTCCCCCTCCCCCTCCTCCTCCTCCTCCTCTTCCTCCTCCTCCTCCTCTTTTTAACGTTAGACCGACCTCAGGTTACCCTGTGGCATTAGTGAAAACATGTGAACGAAACTCGACTCAAGCAAAGAAGTGAACGTGGCGGGCGCCGCGGGCCAAGTAGGAAAACGAGCCATGGAGAAGAGTAGACAATTGAGTAGGCGCCCGCCTGGTCTAAGTGCAGTTCTGGTGCCTTAGTATCCACTCCACCCCAGCCCAACCCATGTAAGATAACCCAACCCTCCATTATAGGTACCTGTTGCGGAATCGAGGCGATGATGAGTATTGCTGACAACTCACTGTGGCCAGTAATATCGTCAGCTGGGAGAAAAAAGTGCGTAGTCAGGTCAGCTAGGCACGAAAGTCTTCCACTTCCACCTCAATCGTGGCACTGATCATCCATCCCCTCCTCTAGGTACATGTTGCAAACAGTGCAAGGGTTAAAAGGAAAGAGAGCGTTCTCCACCGCCACTTCTAAAACAGCGTAGGGATCAACTCCTGCGGGGACCCAAGTGCGCAGGGACAATGCTGCAGAACAGTTTTTGGTTTAGCTCGAACCGTCAAAGAACATGCAGACTTTGGGCTGCACCCAAGGCTTTGTACGGTAACGTCGAACCTATGTAGTAAGTTCTTCCTCCGGTACTACCACAATATATGACCAGTCAGACACCGCCTCCAAGAGTAGCTAGGTGAGGTAGAGCGAGAAGAGCGCAATGACATAGAAAAGACTATCCTGGGGCTGCTACCCAGGGCTTTGTAGGGAAGCCCCAAGCCTGCATATGGTAAGATACTACCATCGTGTCAGAGCCGCGTGGGAAAAGGGAGGAAACGTGTATTGCATGTGCTGCACGAGCTCTGTGCGCTGCAAGAGGGCTTTTAAGGTTTACCCCTAACCTCTGAACAAAAAAGGTGCGCAACCTTTGGGTTGAGACCCACGTGTTTGTAGGGTAGCCCCGAACCTAAGTAGAGAGTTCCTCCTCCGCGACCGCCTTCTAAAAATAAGCCCCCGCCTCCACGAGTAGCAGGATGATAATACCATGCTGCAGAGGACCTAGTACACTTGGGCTGTGGTTTGCCGCCGTCAATGTGTACAGAAAAGTGGCTGTGGCCAAGAGTAGCTAAATGAGGTAGAGCGTGAGAACGCAATGCCATATAAAAAGACAATCCTGGGGCTGCTACCCAGGGCTTTGTAAGGCAACTCCAGCCTGCATATATGGTAAGATACTACCATCGTGTCAGAGCCGCGTGGGAAAAGGGAGGAAACGTGTATTGCATGTGCTGCACGAGCTCTGTGCGCTGCAAGAGGGCTTTTAAGGTCTACCCCTAACCTCTGAACAAAAAAGGTGCGCAACCTTTGGGCTGCGACCCAAGGTTTTGTAGGGTAGCCCCGAACCTAAGTAGAGAGTTCCTCCTCCGCTATCGCCCTCGAGGAATAAGCCCCCGCCTCCACGAGTAGCAGGGTGAGAATACCATGCTGCAGAGGAACTGGTACACTTGGGCTTTGGTTTGCCGCCGCCAACGTGTACAGAAAAAATGGCGGTGGCCAACATATTGCTGCCTGGCTGTGTCCGAGGCTGCATGCGCACGTGCGCACTGTGCGTTGCAATTGGGTTTGAAGGTTTACCCTTGCCCTTCAAGTAATGAGCGTGCAAACTAAGGTAAGAGACCATCGTCGCGTCATTATATGCTTCTAGCTGGGCGGTCTGAAACAATGTGCCTATGGGCTGGCCTTTTGAGTAGGCTGGCCTGTAGTGTTACAGGCTGGCCAGATGCACAGGTCTGGGGTGCGCTAGACAGGTGAGGAGTAGACATGCAGCACAGTGTAGTCAAATTTGGCTTTACGCACCGAGATCTGTCATTCAGTATTTTTGCACGGGCAGATTGCTCACGCATATGCTGTGACAGATTGCTCTGAACAAATGGCGTCGTCGCCAAAGTGCTGCTGGCTGGCTGTGTCCGAAGCTGCGTATGCGGTATGGCGTGGCAAATTACAATGTTGATAGGCGTGGATGGTGCACCTTGGGCGTCCATCAAAATTAGCCATGCATGTCTAATGTCTAGCTGCCGGTATAAACAACGGTATGGAAAACGTGGCTGTCGCTGAGCATTGCTGCCTGGCTGTGTCCGGGCTGATTCTGCACGTCTGCACTGTGCGCTGCAATAGGGTTTTAACAATTCAGCCTTAAAGTACCCGTGACCCACCGCCACCAAGAGTAAATGTGGGAGGTCGAGCTTGTGATTTCTGCAAGAGAAAAAGCGTAGTCCTGGGGCTGCTACACAGGGTTTTGTAGGGTAGCCCCAAAATTGGATAGGGAAAGAGACCGCCAGCGTTTCAAGGAGCGAGGGGGGTGTATTGCAGGTCAGGTAGAGTATGGTGCAGCAGCGGTACAATTAGTACACTGGGGCTGGAACCGTGCCACCGTCGATGTGTGCTGACAAAGGGGTAGTCGCTGAAGTCGTACTGCCTGGCTGCGACCGAGGCTGCGTGTGCGATGGGGATTGGCAGGTTAACCCTTAACCTCAAAGCACGTGCAAATTTTGGGCTGCGACCCAGGGTTTTGTAGGTTGACCCCGAACCTGAGGGGAGACATCCACGAGAAGGCGAAGAAGGAGGATGGAGGACACGGAATATGTGCACGGGTAAAAAACATTCCTAGGGCTGCTACCCAGGGCTGCAGATTAACTCCTAACCTTTTACTAATCAGTACCACTGACGTGTCAGAAGAGCCGCGAGGAGAAAGAGAGCCTGTTTATTGCAGGTCAGTGGTCATGGTATACAGACTGACTGCTGGAGTGGCTGTGATGCCTTTCAGTACGGTTCCTTCTGCGGTAATTGACCCACTCAGAATACTTGATGTGGAAGTTGCGGTAGTCTGCCGTGTACCCAGCGTTGTGGGTCGGTTGTCATGTCTGGCTCTGTTGGCTCGTCGTAATGTGTCGGCTGGGACTTGGGAGCGGCCTCGGGTGTCATTACCATGTGCTTGGGCGGTGGCTCCCTGAATGGTGCTCCCATTGTGTGATCACTCCACTTCATGATCATCTAACCATCCGATCAGAAAGACCAGCGAAGAAAATGTGATTCCTGCACAATTGCCGAGTGTCACCGAGAAACGGCGACGTGACTCGCCCCACACAAAACCACCCCAACGTAAAAACGGCGAGCAAAACGCAAATCTTCAGTGAACCTCTTCGAACAAAACAACGACGACGACACGCCAAAACACTTACCGGGACGCATGCGAACCCTGCCACAAGGGCCTTCGGTGAAACTCCCTGAATCTCCCTATGAAGCCACGCACCGTGTGAGGGGTGTGCCAGAACTGGACTTGGGACGCATGTGAGTCCTGCTATTGAAGCGTTCGGTGGAGCTCCGTATGAGGCCACGAACCGTGTGATGTGTGCGTGTGTGTGTGTGTGTGGATGTGTGTGTGTGT